ATTGTTTATGATTTTTGGAAATTAAAAAAAATTTTGTTGTAAATTTTAAAATTAAAAAAACAATTTTGGAACGTATTTAGTGTGCGTGGTTGCAAAATATTTTACTTTTAATTAAATTCGTAAAATCTATTTACTAGGGCTTTAAAAAAATTGAAATACACAATGTGACGCACACCAAGTACGTTCCAAAATTGTTTTTTTAATTTTTAAATTTACAACAAAATTTTTTTTAATTTCCGAAAATCATAAACAATCATATCGGTTACTTGGATTTTTTAATTTTTTTATTTTATATCTTTTTTTAAAGAAAAAAACTAATTTTTTTTTCTTAATAGTCTTATGAACGTGGACTTGGCGCGATTTTTTTTACAGTGAAACTGTTTTTGTTCGGATTATGAACAACGCTCAACTTAGTTTTGTTTTTAAGTACATACACGATACAAAAAAATGAAATAACATTTTTTTACCTGATTTTTATTAATATTTCAAGATAGTAAAACCAGAAAATAGAAAAAAACCCTGACTGAAAATTTGGTTCTAAAATATAAAAATTTTTTAAGTGATCGGTAAAGTAGTATGAAAGTTATGTAACAAAAGCGTGAAAAAACATGTATATTGTTGAAGAAATCTTATTCATGAGGAAAGTTCAAAATATCTTGGGTCAACGTCGCTTGAAAATAACAATTTAATAAAAATGAATTATCAATTGCTGAGATACAAGAACAAAAGTTCATTGATCTATTTGATGTTTGTATGCAAATAAATTAGAAGCAATGCAAGTCTCTTAATTTGTAAATTATTTTGAATCTTGTAATCAGATTAAAGAAACAATCTGTTGTTCAGTTTTCTTAAATCTGTTTTCAGAATCAAAGCCAGTTTTCAACTATGTAACTTAAAAAAGATCAGATTTTTTTTTCTTAACACTGCTTGGTGTAAAATTTCTGAAACTACTGAACTGAATGTTATAAAATTCTAATCGTATATTTTGAATTAATTAAAAATTTTTATTTTTACTATTTTTTTTCGTAAAAAGTGGTAAACAACAATGTAATTTTTGTCTTTCTATTCTTTTTTTCAGCACCTTGTTGTTATTTTTGGATGTAAATAAATAATTCTAGTTCAGCTAAACATTAAAAATTTTTTTATTTTAGACACCTCGTTTTTGAAATTTTAACATCAGCTCAGACCTACCTACAGTGCGCGTCATTGATTCGTACCGGTTGAAAAATTTTAAGGTAAAATAGATAAATCAAAATTTCGACATCTGTAAATAAAGAAATCAATAAAAGGAAAATCTTTATAAGGATCAATTTGGACAAAATTAAAAAAATAATTTACTAAAAATAAATAACTCAAAATATCAATCACGATTAAAATAGAAATGAAAAATATTAGTAATTAAAATAATCACACACTTTATAAAATAAATAAAAGTAAAATTTTAATATTAAAAAAAAAAGACAACGATATAATTCGATAATTTTTAAATTTATCAATTATAAATATAGGCATTGGATAAAATAAAATAGACTAAATTCAGAGAAGTCAGTAAAAAGACATTTGAATATTTATATTAATAAAAATATTGATAGTTATTAATATATAAAGGCTGGCTTTATTCATACAGTAAACGGATGAATACAATAAAATTATTCGTCCGTATACAATTATTTTTAATTTTAGTATACGGATGAATTATATATACTTATTTTTCCAATTAATTTTATTCTCATAAGTTTACGGACGTATAATATATTTTAATTTTTCCGATAGCCGGATGAATTAAATATCCTAATTCGTCCGGCTGCCGGACGAATTAATTATTTTTATTAATCCGGTTGTTGTATATATAATTAATGTTAAATTTTTTTACTACTGATTATTATTATTAAGACAAGTAAAGTGAATGACATTTAGTACAAGGAGGGTATGGAGTGTCTGTGCACATTACAACTTGTAATTTCCTAGGCGGAAAGTTGGGTGCCAGAAACTCCACTCAAATTATTTTCATTCGAAAATACAAAATCTGCAAAGTCATAAATATCCGAAATGAAAACTATTCGAAATTAACAATATTTAAAATTAATTATAGTCAAAAGAATCCGAACAAAAACAGTTTCACTGTAAAAAAATCGCGCCAAGTCCACGTTCATAAGATTATTAAGAAAAAAAAATTAGTTTTTTCTTTACAAAAAGATATAAAATAAAAAAATTAAAAAATCCAAGTAACCAATATGATTGTTTATGATTTTCGGAAATTAAAAAAAAATTTTGTTGTAAATTTAAAAATTAAAAAAAAAAATTT